CACACACGTACACGACGCGTGCGTACGTACGTGCACGTGTACATACGCGACTTTATATATATATATTTATATTTATATATATACATATATATATATATATATATATATATAAATCGCCAAAGATTCTTTCGAGAGTGAAGCGTTACCGTTTCCGCGTCTGGAACTACCAGCAGCAATATACTTCAAAGTCGCGCGTCCGTTCGTTAGCGGGCAGCGCGTCACGGACGATCCTCCGTGATAGTCGATGTGTGTTAATGACGCAACAGCGACCGCATCGGACCGTAATTGCAATTGCGACTCGGAGGGATTCGACGCAACAACCGTCTCATTCGCAACGCGGGGGGCCGCTCCTGCATTCGCCGTCGCTCGACGACGATTGCGGATGAGCGGGCCGATAACGGTTATCAATATAGTATATATATTTTGTGTATATATATATATATATATGTATAGAAATATGCAGAGCAAAGAGAGGATACGAGAATAAAAAGTAGTCAATAATAAATTGGAAATGTGTGCGTGTGCGTGTGTGTGTGTGTGTATGTGCGTGTGCGCGTGTGTGTTTGTGTGCGTGTGTGTGTGTGTGTGTGTGTGTGTGTGTGTGTATGTGTGTGTGTGTGTGTGTAGATATACATGATTCTCAGGAAAGAGGCAACTCACCGGATCTGGCGGGAGTCTGTAATCTGTGGATATCTCGCTGCTCGCGCTTCGCTCCTCGGTCGACCTTTCCCAGTCCATCTCTTTTTTCAGGGACTGCAAAGAAAAGAGAGGGCACATCGGGTTTACATCGAGGTAATAAATATACAATGAACGAGGCGGCCGGCGGTATCGAGATACCGCGCGGCGCGGCGCGCTATCGACAGTCGCGTCGGAATTATCATCGATTTTCCCTCTTGCATATTAATCGCGACGTCGGTTATCAATGTTTCAAGCCGAGCCGATGCGCCGCGCAAAGAGACGCGGGCATCGCGGCTCCGCTTCGGGAGACGCGATGAAATTGTCGGGACGGCGTGTGTCGATTCCGCTGCGGATCTCTCCCTCTCCCCCTGCGACGACGTCATTTTTGCGTTAGAAAACTCTGCTCTGCCGGCCGGAGTCTCCGCGCGTCGCGCGCGTGGAAACGCAGGAGGAGGGGGGGGGACGGGCTCGTTATCGCGTTACGGAGCTTTATCGAATTCTCGCGCACCACGTAAAACGCGGTTGACATTTTCCCCGCACGACCATCTCAAAACGCGCTCGTCTTTACGGCAGACGCGTCGGCTAATTTCGAGCTTGAGTTTAATCGCACGACATATTGGCGCAGACGACAATACAGGGTGTCCCATTTTAAACGAGCCAGGCAAAAAAATTTCGAAAAATATGCACGATACTGGGAAACGTTTCAGACAAAAGTTGTACGGTTTCAAAGGGGACATAAGACAACTGTACCATTTTCTTTACAGATGGCGCCACTTTCGAGATATTCACTGAACATTACTTTTCTTCAATGGAAATCCCAATTTTTCATTACATCATCTTTTTCTACCGATTAATTTGAACAACTTTTGTCTGAACAACATTTTTCTGTCTGTCTGATATTTGTTGAGATATTTGAGGAAAACTTGGCAACTTTTCCGATATTAAACTTACGATATCTACTACGACGCCAACTATTTGTCGAAAGAAAAAGTGATACTGGACTTTTTTGCTTTACCTGGTCTCAAGAATATATTGTTACAATAGCGTCCTGACTTTTGTTAACTTCTCGACCCTTGGACATTTCAAAATCATCGAATTAATTAATTTCGCCTGGCTCATTTAAAATGAGACATCCTGTATAACCGACGCGAGATCTGCTTATGGAATATCTATGAACCGTATATTGTCGGACAAACAGCTGAACAGAAGAGAGAATGATATTATTGTTGTATCGTTACAATACATGAATTATTCGATAGAATGGCGCTATTTAATAGCGATCTCGCGATTTTTAGTCATCTTTGCTTGAGCAAGGCGTTTTTCAAACACCCGACGATCAGACTCGATCAGGCTTATTATTTTCGCACAGATGTTTTTTTATTAATAACGAAACATTTAGGACGTAAAACGTTTGTTTTTCTCCTGCATCTCTGAGGCTTGACTCGATGTATTTTCTTTCATATTTATCGTCTCCATAAACATTCCGATATTAGACGGTTCGAATCTCTGGACGGTTAAGAACACTAAGAGAAAACATTAAATTACAAAGCAGGCTCTTTTTTCAATGTAGTGGGAATAAATCAATTGAATATTGGTTCCCGCTAATATATAAACGTTTAATAAGCAAAACATTTTATAAAACAAATATACTGAGATGGCCGGACATTCGTTACGCAATCAATTTTCGCAATCGAGTCGACAATAAATTAAACTTATTCTCTATATGTTATTTTAATTGGCGAAAAATGTCGTCTTTTTTATTCTTACGATTCAAGATAATTTAATCAATCTTATTATAAATATTATTTCCTATATTGTTCGAGAGAGCACCAGCAGGGACAGTACACCTCTTGCAATCGCTGCGCTGGCGAATAAAATAATTACTCGTTTTACCAAACGAAATAAATACATGGATATGAACATTTGGACGTCGCTGATCAAAACTTTAAAGTACGAAAGATATCGTATTCTGTGTTGGAAAATATGGCTATTTTCTGTTTTTTATAGAAACAAGATCAAGATGAACGTGTTGTTTCGTGTTCTACAAACATGACAGATTTTGTTTTCTCAAGTTAAACAGTTGTCGATTAAAACACATTATATTAGGTTACGTTAGGTTGAGCTACCGTAAGTCTATGTTAGGGATAAATCAAGGGTAGATAATCAATTCGGCATCTTCCTCGGGAACATTAAAAGACATTTTTTGAAAGAGCTTGTTTCTCCAAGGATGATAAAGCGAAAACAACGGTAGCTTTGCGGATCAAACAGGGCCGCGTGAATTTTTCATCGATCTCGAGAAAGCTCGTTTCGTGTCGGCCAAAATCTGTCGAAACAACGAAGATGTGATATCTTGAGGCATGTATTTTGGCGTCCCTGTGCAGCTAGTCTCGTCACCACGTAAGAACAAAACGGATATTTCAGTATCAGAAGCTATTTGTGAGCTTTCATACCGCGCAAGCCGAAAGATTTAAGACCGCTTCTTGAAGTAAACAATATTCTGCCGGGGGTCGAGCTGCGTGAACTTTTATTTAACCCCTTCGTATTCTTGAAAAATGCGGAAAGTGAATCCCTTTTTAATCGCACAATTAGGAACCATTTATAAAGTCTTAAACTGACACATTTTCGATTTTTCAGTTCCGTTTCTTAGCCTCGAGACAACTTTAAACTGTATAAACGCGCTCAGGCAGCAGGTACAAAAGGAGCAAGTTCACTTAATTTTCTTCTTTGAATATCGTATGTATGTACTCTTGCAGAATCCTTACATATTTCCACACATTTTTTCCAGTAAAGTTACGAGCGCTTCGAATAATCACAATTGCAAATTACGCGCTTAAGTGACAATCGATTATGACGGAAATGATGTGACGATTCACGCTGTAAATGGCCCTTTATTATAGGCCTGTTCTGAAATTGGTTTCGGGTACTTTGGTTTTATGAGGTTGGTAGGCCTTAAACTAACTTAGATACGTTCCGTAATTAAATCAGTTGATTACGCTTGAACGTTTACAACCATTACTACCACTTCTTACTACTTCTCTTTGCAAGTGCTTGCTTTTAGCTATTAATTTTGTAATATTAGACAGAGAAATGGATAGATATTTTATTGCTCATTATCTTGATAATTGATCAGCCGATCGATTGTGGAACGTATCCAAGTTATTGGGTTCGTGCAAAAATAATTGCGATTTTTTATCATTTTAAATTTGGCGCTGATTTTTCTAGTTACCGTTATAGCCATGTAATACATCATTGTAAACAATGAGATTGGAGATTACTGATTTCAGCTTATGTCTATTGTTTTCAGTCTTGAGTATTGTTAGATACAACCTCTAATGTTAATAATGCGAATAAAGCAAATTCGCGTGATTTTGTTGAGTTTAAATTAAGCGACATAAAGCGACAGAAACAGCTCGAAATATCAAATTTGCTTTCGGGGAAGAGTCAATTAGTGAACGTACAGCTCAATACTGGTTCTAAAAATTTCGGGAACGAAAGCCTTGAAGATGAGAAGGGTCGTGGACGTCCTTCAGCTATAGACAATAATGATTTAAGAACCATTATTGAAGCGGACCTATGTAAAACTCCAGAATTCTATCTTGTAGAAATAAACAAACTTCTTTTCCACTGGGAGAAATGTGCGAAAGCCAATGGTCTTTATTTTGATTAATAAAGATAATTTTTAACTGATATATGATGCGTCTTTATATTCGATACGTAAAAACCGCGATTATTTTTGCACCAATCTAATAGTTTAAGGCCTACCAATCTTATAAATACCAACATCAAAATTTGCGAGACCGATCCCGAGAAACAGGTCTTATATTCTTATCTGATGAATGGGAATATTATAATATATAACAATTATGTTTTCCTCGAAGCCCCTGTTGTGACGTCCGGTATTTCATATATTGTCATTTCGACTCCTGTCCATAACCAATTACCGCGTAAGCTCGTGAGTGACCATTCGACACGCTCCTAACCTCATCGAAAAAAAATGTGTGGAAATCGTTTCACAAACGAACGTACAGTCGGCCGCAAAAGGATTTGCATACGTTTCTTTCCGGCGAAGTCGCTTCAGCGCTCCAGGTTGTGACAATTGAGAGACTGTCGATGTGTTTGCGTCGATTTCGGACAGGAGCCGAAATGACGATATACTCGATGTATACCAGCTATAGTTGATTCTTTGTTACATGCTTATTTGATAAGTGAGAATGGAATAAAGATACTGACATTTTTTTCCTCGATCCTCCGTATGCGACGTCGAATGTTACGCTCTTGGTATTTGTCACTCTGGTTCTTTCGTCGTAATCGATGCGCAAACGCTTTGGCAATGTCTCTCGATTGTCGACAAGTCGGAGTGACGCGATTTTGTCCGGCAAAATGTGCGCAAACTGCGTTCTGTGCCGACTATATACGTCGGAACAAGGCGTTTTAACTGAGCGATCGATGATTCGTAGATCGGGTCGAGGTATATACTCTTGATTTTGATCAGATCGAGAAATATACAGTAATCAGGTTCGCAAATTGCTAGTTGCTTACTAAGCGCTGCGTTCTGCTGAACGTAGACATTATTTTTGAAATATTCGACTATGCGCGTTATTTTCAGCCTATTCTCCTCGTATCAACACCGTATCCGATATCGGCTTCTGGGTCGAAGGAATTCTCGTTCGCTCGAATTAGAATCGAGTCATTTTTTTTCGCAAGAACTTTTTAAGAACGACGATTTTTAAGTCATATTCCCGCACGCGTGACAACGGCGACTTTTATACATTTGTTTAAAGCTATTTCCATTGCACTGGAAAATTTATCCCACAGGAATTACGGCAAGCGCTACTGAGATTAAGTGGTAAACATTGAAAAATTAAAATAGGAATATCTATGAGCGTGTCCTCGATACTGAACACTTTTGTGTTTTAGTTTTTAAGAATTAGATTTTTAAAAAGCCTCTTTTTATTATACCTCTCAAACGTTTCAACGTCCAAACATTTATTTCCATTAATTCAAACGTCTTGTAAGGTAAATAATTACTTTATTCGCGCCAGTTTTCGAGAGTTTCTCTATCGACATTTGCGGTATGAAGTGACAAGTTATCCGTAAGATTAATTGATTTGTCGCGAATCATAAGAATAAATAAGTCATTTTTTCGTTGTTAAAGCATGATACAAAGTATAATAAAAGAATGGGGCAACAATCGGCTCTATTAAATTGATTCTATTAAACGTTCATTAGTGCGGAACAAATGTCCGAGCGGGACGTTTGCTTTATAAAAAATACTCATTAAATGCTTATAAAATATTTGTAGAAAGCATGATTCAACTAACTTACTTTTTCTATTAACCTTTTGAGTCCCAGTGTATCCTTAAGGAGATACGGCATATAATATGTCTAAAAATAAAAATATTTTAATTGATCTCTTTCTCTTTCTCTCTCTCTCTCCCTCCGTCCCTCTCTCTCTCTCTCTCTCTCTCTCTCTCTCTCTCTCTCTCTCTCTCTCTCTCTCTCCCTCTCTCCCTCTCTCTCTTTCTTCATCTATCTATGTCGTTTAATGAAGCGCCTTTGAAACTCTATCTAGCTATAGTTCACTCATTACTTGAAAAAGAAAATTGTGCTTTCGACAGTTCTCCAATAAAATTTTCCACTTTTCCCTTCCGAGACCGCTCTTTTCAGACTCCAAATTTCCAAAACAAATGACATTCCCCTCTGACAAAACAACGCAGAATTTGCAGAACAAAGAAAGCCGGGGCTCAAAGGGTTAAAAAAAGATAATCTGATCTCTAGCTTTCACAAGGCCGATGCATAGCTGTGGAAATTGTCGTGACGGTCAACTCCGAGACAAGACTAACGTTCCGCCGTGAGTGCTCGCAATCGCCCAGAGATCGCCGCGTTCGCCCGGTCATTTGCAGCACCGCGAGAGAGCGTCGCGCCGCGCCGTCGCGCGCGCCGACAGCGCGAGTTCTTTGAGTCGCGCGCGATCGCGCGTCTCGAGAGGGGCTTAAAGAATCCTGGTAATTACTTACTAGCGGAACTTGCTGGACCGGGGGTAAGCCCGACGGGCCGGCGAGGGGCTCGGTACTGTGCGGGGACGGAAGCCGGCTCTGCGGCAGGTTCAACGGCAACACGCCGGGAGCGCCGCCGCCACCGCCACCACCGCCGCCGCCGCCGCCGCCGCCACCGCCACCGCCGCCGCTGCTACCACCACCGCCGCCGCCGCCGCCGCCGGTGTTGTTGCTGAGGCTCATGTCGGATGGTCCGCTGTGCACCGAGATCGGGCTGAGAGAGCCCCGAGTCTCCTCGAGGCTAGCCGCGTCCTCGGAGTCCCTCCTGGGCCGGTCGAGGGCGAGCGGTCCCGGACACGGGCTACCGGGAGCCGTGGGTGATGGCGGACACTCCGTCATGTCTACCGCCTCCGTCGGCTCGCTGGGGGCGCTTTGGACGACGCTCGGTTGCTGTTGCTGTTGCTCGCATTCCTTAGTGCCGCCGGCCACGGCCACCCCGGAGACGCTCGACTCTCGCTCTCTGTCCTTGCCGCTCGTGTCCTTTATGCTCTCTCGCTCCCGCTCCCGCTCCCGCTCCCGCTCCCGTTCTCGCTCCCGCTCCCGTTCTCGCTCCCGCTCTCGTTCCCGATGATGTTCCCGCGTCGAATCGGAGGCGTTTGTGTGTTGCTGTTGTTGTTGCTGCTGCTGCTGCTGTTGTTGCTGCTGCTGTTGCTGTTGCTGTTGCTGTTGCTGCTGTTGCTGGTCGTCCCTGGACGATACGGCCGCGTTGATGTTCGTCATGTCCGCTAGACCCTTAACCTTGAGGCTCTCCGCTGTCTTGAGCAGGGCCGATAGCTGGCAGTACTCGACGTTTACCTCGCCCTTGTACATGAAGTCGACGAGGGTACGTAGCTCGGCGAAACGTACGTCCTTTAGGATGACAATGGGGTGGCGGTTCGGATGGTCGAGGAACAGGGCCTGGAAGTAGCTGGAGCACGCGGAGAGGACTACCTTGTGAGCGCGTATCGACGGTCCCTCCGTGCACGCCAGTGTCACGTCTACTAGCGACTCCGACTCCAGCAGTTGACTAAACACACCCAGCAAGTTGCTCTGATGATTGTTCCACCTCAGGCAGTAATGCTCACTTCCCATGTCTGAACTGCACCCCGCAACCCTGCTACATAAGAAGGATCTGTGACCCTCCATGGGACGCGACAAGCGAGGGAGAAGGAACAAGTGCTGCCTGCGTCGGCCGCGCGAAGATGGTCACGTGGCCCAGTGTGTGCGTGTGCGTGTATCTCGCGACGCATTCGCGATCGTCGCCGTCGTTACCGTGCGTTTCCGCGGCGACAGGGGCGAGGAAGGGGCGAGGACGCACTTTCGCGAGGAACGCGTGCTCGCGAACTCGCGTTCGTGATGCATTTAAACGTGACCGACACATCCGGGGAAGCACGGCCGATATCACCGGACGATACGGGCTTATCTTTTATTATTCCTTGCCGTTCGGCCGCTATTTATTGCTGCGCCTAATGCGTGAAACGGCGCGCACGCACGTGTCGCGGACATGTGCCGCCCGTGCCCGGCGACACGCACACACATAATTACGCCGTCGAGCGTTCGCGCGCAAACGTGCACTCGCGTGATACGTCCGCAGATATGCGCGATGGCGTGTGTACGGTACCACTGCGCGCGATACTCGCGTGATTCGTTTGGCCCGCGCGACGTTATAGCGACGCGTAAAGCCCGTGTCACACTACGGATTGAAGATCAAGGATCGCGGATCGAAGATTAGATCTCGACAAATCGACGAACTTCGGTTTTGATTTACTTTATTCCGATTGGTCAAATTTCCATCTTCAATCCGCAATCCTTGATCTTCAATCCGTAGTGTGACACGGGCTTTACACAAGCCGTATACAGGGTGTCCCGATACGCGCGCACGCTCCTGCGCTCCAATGTGCGAGAGCGCGAGCGTTCGAGCCGATGTCGAGTCGGCAAATTTTCCGACGGACTGTTTTCCCGCCGATTGTTCTTCTTCCACGAACGATCGAGGGCTATGAAGGCGAATGATCGAGGGCGTACCTTAAGCCTGTGTCAGACTATGGATTGGGATTGAGATTGGATTGAAATTTGAGCAATTGGAAAACAGAAAATGATCTCAAATACAGTGAACTTAGGCCTGATTGGTTAAATTTCAATCCAATACTCGATCCCAATCCGTGGTCTGATTGCGGGCTTTACGGAAATTTATTACTGGCTGTCAGGGTTGGAGAAGTAACTCGTTACTTGTAACGAAGTTACGGTTACAGTTATTTTCCTTTTTTTTTTGGTAACTACAACTTAACCTCGTACCTCTTTTTTTCATTTATAACTATAACTTGACTTGGTTACATTTGTTTGATAACTGGTGACCAATTTAATAGCTATTTTTATAGTTACTTTATATATTATAAAACTTGAGTTTCTGGCAGATCAGCACGATAACGCGACGTGCCATGCTTGATGCTCCAATAAGCATACAGCACAGTTATTCTGGTTGCATTTGGAAAACGCGCTACTGCGTCATCTATCTTTATCGTTTTATTAGATGTTTCATTAGATGTAAAACAAGGATAAAATGACGCAGTAGCGCTGATAGTCTCCTCTCCGAAGGCAACCTATATTTCTTTAAAAAAAATTCTACGCTTATTGGACATTTCCGTCGCGCGTCGCCAGTCTTTATTCGTTAACATAATTTGCGTTCAGCGTGAAGTGCGCTGCGTGGTTTCAGTTATAAAAAGAAGAAATTCAAACAATAGATAAGACATCTCAATCTTCGGAGAAGGATTGTAAAATGCCATGGCCAACATATGCCAGAAACATTTGAGTTACAGCAAAGACTTCGCGAAACGGAAATAATTGAGCATTTCTCTGCCCAGTTGTTACCAATAGTCTTAAAGAATAAATATGAATCGCTTATTTAAATTAATGAATCTAATTTGTAAAAATTATATACCATATGAGGAATATATAATAAACCACAAACTACTTTTATATAAAATTGAAAGAATCTATGCGATTACGAAATTTAATGATAGCACAATTATTGTAAAATGATAGCACAATTATTGTAAAAAAATAACTGAAAAGTAACGACTCGTCACTTTCTAAGTAACTACAACTGTAACATGTTATTTTTGAAGGTTAGTAACTTGTAACTGTAATTAGTTACTTTTTCAGTGAAAAAAACTGTAACTGTGACTAGATATTTTTACAAAATAACTTTCCCAACCTTGCTAATTGTAAAAACTGTAAATCGGCCAATGATAACAAGTAATTTTATTACTCGTACAAGTAATAGAATTATTTATTATCACTGGCAATTTATTGCAGCCAGTAATAAATTTCTGTTAGGAGTGAAAAGAAACGTCTAACCTGAAAACTAACGAGTTGACCGGTTGAGAAATTCGACACGGCGCGCTGCGTTTCCGATTGGCTAGTTCGCCTGGCGCTGAATTTCATCGCTCATACCTTCCTACGTGTCGCACACTTCAGAATCGAGAAGTCGCCGATCGATCGACCCATCGAGCCAGGACTAATCGAGGAAATACGCTCGATCGATATCGGGCTCCGCAAACGTACGTTTCCCTCCGTTCGAGTCGAGTAGAGGAAATCGCAATTTGGTTCGCGCGGAATTTTCACGTCGTTCAAGCGCCATTTTCGCGTGACGAGGCTCGCGAAAGAGACACGCAGCCACGATGGCGCAGGATTCGGTGACTGGAAGATTCGCTGGATGATCGGCGGACATCCCCCTTGCGCCGCTTTGCGATATCGCTTCGTGTCGCTCGTTAGCAATTACGTTGCAGTCTGTAACCGCCGCCGCCGCCTATCGGAGGAATGTCGAAGCGCGAATAATGTTTTCGGGCGTTTTGAAAGAGAGAGACTCGCGGCGCGGCGCGCATTCAGGCCTCAGATAAATTGCACCTGTCAATGCGCTGGGGACGGTTATAGGAATTACTTGTATCCTCGTCGGTTAAATATAGCGGCACCGGTCGTTACGCATTGATTTCATCGTTTCGCGGCTATAACGTCAGGCTGTTACCGAAACCTTCGGAACTTTTTTTTCTTTCTCCGGAAGCGCCAGGTCCGCGGTAAACTATGCCCGTCGACTTGCAATCGAGTGGTTTTCGTCGAACGATTACGACGTAACGACGCGGCCCCCGTCGCGGTGTGTCCGTTGATACGCGTTTCCCGCCGTCCCGACGGCGAATTATTCGGCACGAATTTCATAGAGTAAGAGTCCCCCGAGAGATTGCAAATAAAGTAATTGGATTTAACAAGCGATTCGGAGATGAAGAACAGTACGGCGTATCAGCAGTAATAATGCCGACAAGGTTACAGTGAAAACTCATGTAAACGTAACCGTACTCGCGACAATGACGGTAATAACGTGTTAAAACGCGCGCGCGCGCGCGCGTGCGCGTGCGTCCGCGATAATAACAATATCGCTCGTAATTAATCGCGCGAGATAGCTCCTTCTTCGCGATTACACGCGTGCACATTACTGCGAGGGGCGCAAAAAACAAAAGATCAATGTTAAACAGTCTTCTCTCTCTCTCTCTCTCTCTCTCTCTCTCTCTCTCTCTCTCTGCCAAGCCGCGGTGCAGTTATCACTCTCCCGCGATAATCACGCGTCACGCGCTTTCACCCCCTCCTCCTCCTCCTCCTCCTCCTCCACCCTCCCCCCGATATAGCCGGTTCTCCCCGGCACAAAAATGCCGAGTATAAAACGCCGTCGCATCGATCGCGGGATACATTGCCGTATTAAGTATAAAAAACAGAGAGAGAGAGAGAGAGAGAGAGAAAGAGAGAGAGGGAAAAGAGAAGGGGAAGAAAGAGGGAGACAGAGATAGAGGGAAGAAAGAAACTCGCGCGCGTCGCACTCGCATGTGCGTGCACGCACGTACGCACGCTGGTAGGCGAACGCAGAAATCGACGCTTTTCGCTGCGTACGGCAACGGAGGCGGGAAGGAGGGGGACGCTGCGTATCGCGCGTTCTGCGCCAAATACCGCGGTTTGCCGCTCTTTTTCCGTGCAATAAACACACCCGCAATCCGATCCGGGCTTCTCTCACCCTCCCTCCTCGCAACCCCCCATACCGCACGTCGAGTCTCTCCTTCCTTTCCCTCTCTCTCTCTCTCTCTCTCTCTCTCTCTCTCTCTCTCTCTCTCTCTCTCGGCGCGCTCGATAAACTTTGCTCACAAGCACCGGTTTCAGCGAAATCGCTTAATAGCGAAAGTTAAGAAGCCAAAGTGGAAGTACATATCTATGAGCGGCCGCGCGCGCAGAGTGGATGAAGCCGTGCTTCTCGGCGGCCGCACAATGCTAAGTACGTCGTGTCGAGCGGCGCTCACTCGGTATATGGACGCGTGTTTCTTCTTCAGGCGGGGGCAGGCGGGAGGGGAGTGCGCGCGCGCGTTTCCGCGCGTCTCTACAATCGCGCGCGCGTTATATCGTTATCGTAATCTCCGTTATTGTCGGCGTCGCGTCGATACTTTGTGTGCCATCGATTACGTTCGTTCGACTGCGAATTGGCAGACCATCCCCCCCCCCTCTCTCTCTCTCTCTCGCTCTGCCCGTTCCGGCGCTGAAATCAAGCACCGATCAATTACGCGAGTCTCGCCCGCCACCGGCGAGACTCGTGCGATGCGTTTCAAGAGATACAAGCCGATACCTTGTTTCTCTTTCCGACGCCCATTGTTTTCCCGCACCTCTCGCGCTATTAGGTCGATTGCGCTCTCTCGGCGAGAGCAAAAATCGGTCATTTTGCTCTCGTCGGGCCGACGGGCGATCTCATAGGATAGGCAGTCAAAATTCTTGCACCGCACTCGACGCGCGATACCGAGCGAGTCGATACCTCTTAATTAAGCAATCTGCACCATTCTCGTATTGGCGCTCGGCGGACGGGACTCGAGTGTTTGCCCGATTATTTCCAATTCTCGCGTTCCACCGGCGAATTTCGGCGATCCTGCGCGCGTGCTCCGGTCTTCCCGCGTGATTTTTCCACGGCGGCGGCGGCGGCGGCGGCGGCGCGGACGCGTATTGTTATGTAAGCCTACGCGGCCCACACGCTGTCGTTATTTATGTCATTTCAGAGGTTTTCTTTGGGTCAATCCGTTTAGAACGATACACGCGCGC